ACCCTGGGCTGGTGGAAGATGTCCCTGCTCATGGCAGGGGGTTGGAACCAGATGATCTTTAAGGTCCCTTCCAGCCCAAACCATTCTATGATTCTATGATAAATGGTTCAAGTCCTCAACTAACGTTTGTGACGCTGTAAATTATTATCTCATGTGTTGAGAAAAAACAGAATTAGTTCTGGTTGAGCGTAACTCACTGAGCTCTAAGCTGCAGTGATTAAGTTGCTTCTCCAAGAGCATCTGCTCTGCCTGGAGCTGGAGCAGTGGGCCAGTGATGAGAACCCTTACCACAGACACAAGGTTAGCAGTGCCCCTCCTAGCTCAGAGAGGTCTTTTGATACTAAATAGAAGCAAACACTACTTAGAAATCTGGTTCTGGTTTAGCAAAATTAATATAATAATCATAAGTGCTCAACTAAATGTCACTGCCCTGGATTTTTCTCTCTCTTAATTGTGGTGTGAATTGAGTTAATGAAGTTTTGGTCTTTGGAGTCCTTGCACTTGGCTTGATCATGAAGAGATTCCCGCAGTTCTAACTGGTGTGGGCTTGCAGCTCTCTGTCTGTAAGCATTTACGTGCCTGCTCGATCACTGCTAAAACCTGTGAGGTTTTTTTATCACCATTTTACTGTATCTCACTTAAGCTTCCAAAAGCACAAAGATGCTCCAATAACATTGAATGCTTCAGTTTTTTTAATTTTTTGTTAATGTTGCCACCTCTAAATGCCTCCAGAGACCCTTTCTGTTCACTGAGTATCGCCTGCTTGCCCATGCAGATACAGGTTCTGCAATTACTTTCCGTCCCCGTTCTGGCCACATGTTTCACCCCCACAGCATGGCTCAACTGGAAACTTGAAATTTCATTTGAAGCGCTCTACCTCATCACTTCATTTTTTAGTACCTGATAGGAGACTTGAGCTTTCACATCCCCAGCTCGAGGGACCCAGAGGCTGTCTTCTCAAGATACAGTCGACCTCGTCGTAAAACCTCATTTTCCTCCTGGGATTACCAAGATGCTCATTTTCCTTCTGCAGCGCGCGGTATTCGTATTTTAGGTTCTTGTACTTGGTGCGACATTGTTTCCAGTCTCTGTCTATACCACGTTTCATTAACCTTCTGGCAATTTCCTCAAATATTTCTTTATTTCTGGTGGCCCCTTCAAGCATTTGCTGTATCTTTTTGTCTGACCATATGTTTATCAGAGCTCTGACTTCGTTATCACTCCAGTGTTTTCCTGCTCCAGTATCATTAACTGTAATAACTTTAAAGTGATTTTGCGTTTCTTCCAAGGGAATGTGAGTGTCTGAAAATACAAATGAAACCACAACTGAGCATTGCTGAATATACATACATTAAAGTGTAATTGTAGCTAATGACTCGGTAACGAGCTGAAGGATTAACTAACATTTATAATAATCTCTTGTTATGAAAATCTTTAAACTTTGCAATGGTAATATCCCTACATGATTACATTTCTCTGAAGTATGCAAAATATGTAGCAAGTGAAATCTTTAGTTTCTCCAAGGCATCTAAAATTCCACATTTTGTCAGTGTAATTTTGTTGCTGTTGTCAAATTAAAGACAGATGTATCCGAGCGCTACTTGCAGGAAAGCAATAGGCCTTGAGCTTTAAAGGGAACAATATATCAGCAGTGATAAGAAAATGGCTTTCCAGTATGGTTTCAAAATAGAATGGCAAGGCAAAATATTATACAAATGAAAATGCTCCTGGGGATTCAGTAGAAGAAAAAAATCTTACCCACATATTCAGAAGTAGGCGGATGCTGCTCGTCAGATACGTACAGAATGCAAAGTCGATTTACAGTATTAATGCAAGTTTTGCTCACGGCAGGGAGTAGAGCTATGAAACTAATTTTTCAGTTTAGTGATAAAGCCAGACTGGAGTCAGAAGCAGAAAAGTAGTGCTGTGTTTACAGTAGGGATTGGGTTGCTCCAGCTTTGGTACTGAAATTACAATGCGAACTTGTGTCAGAATAAGTGCATAGAAATTAATACTCACCTGGCCCGACTACCCGCTTTGCTACTGGTGTACAAGATCTGTCTTCTGAGGTAGTGCTTATCGAGTCATCATCTGTAGAAACACACAGTTTTAAGTAAAATAGACTTGGACTTAGACAAATAAATTGCTAATATTATTGCCATCCTCTGCAGGTAACACCTGTCTTCAATTAAAAAATGTCATAACCCAGCAGTCTAGCCCGTTAACTACAACAAGTTTTCTGCCACATGCCTCCCTAAATCAAATTATTTCTTGGCATTTCTTGTAAGCCCGATCTTTCTTTCTGCCCCTGCATTCCCCAAAAGGGAGCTGTGGATGCAACAGAAGTTTAAAATACTTGATTAAGCACTTAAGGCGTACACGGGTGGTTTGTATCTCACACAGCAGTCGATTTGCGCGGCAGGTCTGCACACCTCGCTCAGCCCAGGCGTGCCTTCCGCTTCTGTCCCTAGGCGGTGGCGGCAGGGCAGGCTTGGCAAGGCTTCGGTGCCCTTGGTGAGGGAGGAAATCACCCTTTTTGGGTGCAAGGCTACTCTGACACAGAGCTTTTGTGATGGAGAGGACGTTAGCAGAAGAAAAATTGGAAAACAAACGAATCAGTAATGCTTTTGTGGAAATCTTCAGCCTCAGCTTAAATTGCACTTTCTATATGTAGGGATGGCTCTACCAGAAACTATTCTATGTGGCTTAAATGGTATTTAAGGCATAAGGTAAGATGGAAGAACTATTTTTAATTCTACCAGCATCAGAGTTCTCTTCAAATTCCATCACTAACAGGATAGAAACATTGTTAAATTATTTTTTCTGCATGTCTACATTTATTTCCTCTGCAGAGCTGAGGCAATAATAGCTTTGCGCTCTGTCGCAGCGTAAGAACGGTTCCCTTCAGAAGTAAAACTCGGGAGCCCTCCAAATTCCTGAAATCATTTATGGACGTCCAAACCCAGCTCGGCTGACTCTGGGCTCATTTCTTCGTCCTTGGACTTCTCTAAGGCTGGAAGTTCACTGTTGGGTGGAATTCCTTTTTGGGTTGGGAGGGAGACAAAGATTAGTTCTCATTGTTTTTGCAGGGGACGTCATAGACCGATAATCTTCAATACAGTTTTCAGTAAAGGGTAGAAGTAAATATTGCTTATATGTTTTGAAAAACCGTGTGCATGGTTTAGACTCTGTTAGAAATGAGAAGCTGTTGGTAATAAACAGTGGTTCATTTGGTGTGCTTTCTGTAATAGTACTTGCTAACATATGCACAGAGTAGTACTTGGAATTAATATTTGTTTTATAACTTGTTTTTCTCTTTTTCTCTTTGACAAACACTGGTTTTCATGTGCAGGAATAGATTTTATACCTATGGAAGACTTAGAATCAGAAATTGTACTCTCGTAAGTATGCGTGTGTGGTTTACTCAGGGTACTAGGAAAAAAGTGTTTTTTTATAAATAGAGCAGCCCACAACTCTTAAGAAAATTCTTGCATCTTCCTTTAACACCTGCACCTATTGGAAATACAATCTGGGACCAAAATAGAGCTCTTGAGTGATTTTTTTTTTTTAACTGTTACAAAAACCTTTAATTTATATGCTTGTTCTTTCAACCATGCTGGCTCTCTAATCTCTTTCTGCCTTTTGGCAGTGACACTTGTGTACTGCTGACTTGTGCGATTACTGTCCTTGGTTGGATATTACATGACAGGAATGGGGAATTTGTATGTCTGAGGCAGTCAGTGGATTTGCCTGACATTTTATTCTGTGTCATTGTGTATGAACTCTTCTCTTTGCATTAGTGTGGCCTCGCTATGTCTCTCAGCTCTCAGGGACACAGCTTTACGTTTTCTTCAATGTAACCACGTTTTCATGTGTCGGTGCTGTGATGGCTCTGATGTTGTCCTCAGTGTCGCACTCCTGACAGTTGTCTTTCATAATCAAGATCAGCCTGTGCAAACTGTTGTAAAAGCTGCGTTGGAAGGGGTGTCTCAACACCCAAACTCCAGGTAGCAGAACTGCTGAGAAGGAAGCTCTTGCTTGGATCACAGAAATACTGAATACAATTATTCTTATGGTAGAAACTTTCAGTGTAAAAGGGCAAAGAATTGCTGTTCACGGAATCATTATAATAGATTTTTTTCTTCTTTCCATTAATGTCTGTGTGTAAACAGAACTACCGTAAAGTATATTTTGATCCAAGATGTCAGGTCAATAGATTTCGATGTCATTGCTATTTCCCCTGATGCCTGTTTTTCATGACCTTCCATGGTTTCTATGCTCATTTATTCCAGAAGATTAATATCTCTATTGTATTCTAATGTTTAACATTTTAAATAAAACAAATCTTCTTGAAGAATTGTCATTGAATACTTGAATACTTGTCACTGAATTGATGACTTTTACATATTGCTGAGGCTCTGATTTCACTTTTACTTGTAAAATAATTCAGAATATTTATGGTAATTGTCTGATAGTGAATAATCTGAAATTAAATGCACTGTCATGAAGCAATTTGAAAAGACAAGGCATAAAATTGTGTTCAGTGTTTCTGAGACAGCTGCTTAGCTCTCCATTTTATCCTCTCTAGCAGCTATGTATGAAAAAATAACAATGTTTGTGTCACAATCAGATGCAGGCTTGTCACATCTGGCATAATAAGGAGTATGCTGTCTGGGAAAATAAGATCTTAATATTAATTGTGGAAAGGAGAAATAGGCATTTATGTATTTTTGCACTATGAAATCAAACAAAAAACAGGTCTTATCATAACCTAGAAGTAGACCGAGTATAATGGGCAGGAATCACATATGAACCTTAGAAACCTGCAGTGCCTAGTAAAGTAGAATGTGCTGTTATCCCCATCATGACACAGCCTTGACCTACCTAAGTCGATCGTCTCCTTCTTTATTTGGGTATCTGCCAGAGCTGCTGGGGTGGAGTTGGCAAAGTCCCCCTCATCTTCAAGGATTTCTGTAAAAAGGAAAAAAATTACAGAGTTCTTACTAACTAAACAGGTCTTGAGTTACGTTTGAGGATTGCTAACTTCATCATGCCATTCATGAAAGCTGTTGTTAAAGATTCATCTCTTCGTACATCAAAGCTGCTGCTTCTCTGCAGCAGTGGCTTTAAGAGCAGAGTGTACACACTTAGATATTAAAATAAATCCAGAACACCACATTAACAGCTATGTAATATAAGTTTATGGATTAAATGTGCCAGGTCTTAAGATATTTAAACCTCGATCAGAATTTGTAGAATGGTTCACTGGTTGTGGTGAACCTCTATGCAGCAGAAGGGGCAAGACGATGACTTTCAAAGGGTCCTTCAGTACATACTGAAATTATTGAAAGAATCCCAAGTGGCTGATGCCAAGAGTCACTGAATTCGCCCCGAAAGGGGCAAAGGTCCCGCCATTGCATCAGGGTGCTGTGCCTGGACGATTGATCTGCGTGATAAAGCACTCACTGCCTGTCCCTGGAGCATCCCGCCCGCTGCAGCTTGGGGGGGGTCCCGGCCCCGGGCGGGGTGACAGCGAGGTCCCCAGGCTCCCCTCCGCGGGGAGGGGATCTCCGCTCCTCTGCCATTGGGCCTTGGTGTCCAAGGGAGAACTCCACCCCTCCGCCCTGGGACGGACAGACAGATGATGCAAGTGGTCTTTCCGACTCTCGTTTCCAGGTGAGGACACTGCTGCCCAGAGATTAAACACTGAAGGCCACGCTGCGGATCGATGGCAGCGGTTTCTGGCTCCCAGCCTGTTCTCAGGCCATTCAAGAATATTGCCCCTAAACATTGAGCAATAAAGCATAATCTAGAGCCATTTTATTAAAAATTACCTCCCAAATCAATACGGCCTGGTTTGCATCAGACGTTCTTTACGATGTGACCAGCATCATGCGCCTTTCTGTGTTTTTTTTTCCTTAGCGAGCCAAGAATGTGGGTAGGGAGCCTGGCTTTTTTTTTTTTTTTTCGAGGCACTGTTCAGAGTTTTTGGAGGGAGGGCACGAGGAGAGCAAGACCCGAGCCAAACAGAACGAACCATCGACAGTTTCTGGCACGGATAAAACACAGTGGCTCCGCATCGTGTAGTGAAGCTATAGACAGCTGCCAGCAAATGCGCTTAATCTCTGCTTTGTGCTGGAATCACTGCTCGCAAGGCCGCCGGAGCAGCGCCCTCGCAGCCTTTCCTTTCACCCGCTCAGACTCACACAAGCTCTGTTCTCTTTTGGTGCTCTGTCACTATTATCCTGCTTTCTGGCTCGTGAGGCAAGATTAGTAATTCGTCTCCTGATCCGTACTCATGTGCGTCTTGTATAGTGGGAAAGGGGAGCGGGGAATGGCAAAGCTGGGGGACATTTTCGGTGCGGATCTGTGTGACGGGATGCGGACGGCTTGGGTGCACAGTTGGGAGTTTGTGTCTGCAGCCTGAGGGCTGAGCCAGGCAATAATCAAGAATTTTTGTGCTTCTCTGAAAGACCCTACTTCACACCAGCCTGGGGCGGATGTATTAAAACATGATCTTTTGAATTCGTGTCTGTACAGTGTAAAAGCCCAAGCACACGGCTGTGAACATTCAAAAGAAACCAAACATAAGTGCCCAGTATGTACCGACTTAAGATCTTGACTTTAAACAACCAATTTTCAAAAAGCCCTTGTTGCTTAGGATTGTATCTTGGCAGTGTCACTCCAAATTTGTCATGAGGGACATACAGTGAAGTACACAAGGCACCAAAAATCCTAATAATGGCAAGAAAACTCTTTTGTTTGAAGAAAAATACTCGCTGTAGTTTTAAGAACATCAGGCTGCTGGCATTCCTTAGAATCCTCTTGTTTTCATCTCCACTGCTGGTTCCCGTGGCCCTTCACATTTAATTGAACACCTATACACGGTCTGTGGCCGTACCGCAAAGTCTGATGCATGTGGAACGCACGGGTATGTGGAGTTTGAGCTGACTGACTGCTGCCTGCGCAGACTTCGGGACAGATTTCAGGAATTAACTGCCCTTAAAAGTGATCCCAGGAAATGGAAAACATCAGTCAGAATTGCTAAATATGGTTTTAGTGCCAGATTGTTTTAAATGGGTATCTTTTATCACAAAGGAGAAAAATTTACAGTGGCCCTAGCCTTTGCTAGGCTGCTTTTGCCAAAAACGAAGCGGGTTTGGGATGGCTGCGATGCTCCCGCTCCCTCTGCCAGGCAGCCTGTCGGAGAAATGGCCAGAAAACCAGTCCACTCCGCAGGAGAACGCGTAAGCATTTATCTACCTGTGTGTTCCTTCTCGGGTGGGCATCTGCTGCTCTTTGAGCAGCAAATCCCTTTGGGCAGAGGAGAAAAACAAGAGAAGGAAACATCAAATAACTAGGTATTTTCCTGAAACCGGAACATTTGTCATTTGACTAATACCATCATAATTTTTTTCCTTACTAGAATATGGCAAACTTGCTTAGACTGTTCATACAGTGTTGCTGTGGTTAATAACTCTGGTCCACGCCTGAGACCGTGAGAAGCACGCGCAGCTCCGAGGCAGCTCGTGCATCTCGGTGCGTTTAGGCAGCTGCGGTTGCCAGAAAGCAGATGTGCGCCGAGGCTGGCTGACAGATACCTGGACAAGCGTATGTGTAACCCTGACCGCAAAGTACCTTAACTCCTTGTGCTCATTGGGAAGATGCCCTGATACAAGAATAACTGAATTTCTAAATTCTTACTTACGTCAGATTATTAATGCTTTTTTATAAAGGCATGTGAGTATAGATAAACTATAATTACACGCTGGTGGAGATAGTTTTCTATGGCAGTTCTGTTGAATATGGAGATGGAGTAGTCGTTAAGAAGTCACATCCCAAAGACTATCGATTGTCAGATGTCTACTGATACCAAAGAACCAATGTGATACGATATCACTGCCTGTTTCATTATTTATCAGCAAGTAAATTTATAAATACAGGGACACATACAATCTCTTTACTTAACATGTTTCTCACTTTACATTTATTTGAACGGTCTAGGAAAGGCATGTACCACAGTGAAAGAATAAAGGGTCTCCAAGATACTGTAATGTAAAAAGCACGCATCTTTTCGCTGTTTTATAGAATACCTAATTGTGTTACCATAAATAACATTAAAGTCTAACTGTTTTTTACTACCTGTGATAAAATTACTCAAGTCTGTATTCTTCATTTGGAAGTGAGGGGAGGAATTTTGGAAACTGAAACACATCTCGTCAAGATGGAGTGCTGTGGTTTTACCATTTTCTTAGCCAATTTTGATCAGTATTCTTCAGAGTGGATAGGCTGAACCACAGACACTTCTGAAACATTTGCTATTTTAACTTTTGCGAGCCAAATCAGATTGTAATTACAATTGCCCAGAAACAAAATACGCAAGTAAAATACATGTATTTGAGAAAGAAATGGTAACCAAGGCAAGCTATAGATAATGTCTAGCACCGACACATATCCTAAAGGAAAGTTAAAGTGTCAAAAATGAGTTTTCAGAACTTTACTGGAAGTATTCAGTTAACTGTATGTTAAATAACCGGTTTGGAAGATTGCAGTCCAGAAAGTTACAACATTACGTAGCTGCAGGCAGTTGAAAACTACATCAGATGACAGATTAGTGACACTGCTGAATCTATGTATTATTTACAGTGTCTTACTAGCGTTCATATATATGTAGAAATTTTACTTGTTGAGGGGAGAAAATGGAATTTGATGCATTTTACAAGTGGTCTTAACTGGATCCCACAAAGTACTCTTTATGATTTCTTACATATTTTTGTCTCTCTCAAAATGAGATCTCCATAGGGAACGCGCTTTTCATGACAACCTATTTTTCTCCAGTGAATGCCTCAAGGGCCCATGGTGATCTGGTAAAAGGCCAGTTAAATGTGGCTTTGTTAATAAATTTAAATAAATAAATGTAATTGCTCTCGAATGGTAAAACGAGAATACTGCTGGCCAGTATACCCCAAAGTACCTCTCACGGTCAACCGTGTCTTTACTTACTTGTCACAGCTGTTTCTTTCGTTACATGCAGAGCTGCCAGACTCTCGGGAGTAGTATTTACAGTAACATCATCTGTCAGGAGATTTTTAATTTGACATTAAAATCTTTCAAGTGCACGTTAGACCATTTTAAGTTCCGTAAGACTACTCCTTAACGCCTAATTTAGACCATATTCTGCCTTATGCTACTGCAGGGGATCGCGAGGTCCTCTGTTGCGGAGAGTCAAGCCTGCCAGCCACCGAGGCTTTCCTGCGTGTCCCTAGCTGAGTGTTAAGCTCCCGCCGCCCCTGAAAGTCATGCTTTCAGATGTAAACCATAATGTTTCTTTGTGAAGAGCGTATGATCTTCATACTCAGTGCCAGCAGTGATGCTCTGAAATGAAGTTTTCATCCCATGACATGAGCATTTACACAAGTATATTAAATACCGGTCACATTATATTGTAAAAAAGAGAATGCCCTATTAGTTCATGCACAGGAGACTGAACAATTCTAATCCTTGGGAAGGCGTAGTTTAAGAAGAAGTAAATGCAGTAATACATTGCACTCAGCTCACTTCAGCCAATGGTTTCTTCTGCTTTACATCTTGGGTTGTGAATCTCTTAAAAGATTGCTCACTAGACTGTTCTTACCAAATTTAGCAGAGCACTGCAACTGTGCACATATGTCTGTATTTATTGAAAGTCTGGTTATCACAAGCCTCTGCATTTTCTAACCGTCATTACGATGTGGGCTTATTTTAGAAATCCATCTTAAATTACTACGGATTTATATAAAATAGAAGACTTTTCCATTTACCTGAGTCGGAAACTTTCTTTATATCTGTAACCCGTAGCTCCTCCGACATATTACTAACCGAGTCCTCTTCACCTGTGTCTCCAGGCATTTCTGTGTAAATAATGCTCCGTTAATTAGGGCACCGCAGAGGCGTATTGCCTAAGAATACAGCTGTGCTCTGTCAAATCAAAA